TTTTTTTTTAGGATTTAGAATGAAAAGAACGTCACAATGACCCTTCCGTCTGCTTTATCTTATTTGTTTGTAGTAATAATATTGATAGAATAGAGCTGGGTCAAGACATTCTGCTTTCATTTGGCTATGTTTGTTTTTATAGATGAACTTTGTAAGCTCCTTGAATGTTCCTGGAAATCCTGAGCGCATAATTCATGCTAACAATTGGTGCATCGCAGGTGGGAGTATTATTTTTACTGTGTCTGTGAAATTTGTCCTAGTTCAAGAGTAAATGAGCACCAGATGGGCTGTGTGTGAGATGACTTGCTGTCACATCGCTGCAATGAAGTACAGGCTATTGCACTTACAGTTGCACCCTGGGAGGATACTAGGCTGAGCTTTTATGTCTCTTCTACTTGGTTCCCTCTCTTTCTCTTCCTCCAGTAGAGCCACATTCACAGAACCTCAGGGAATCAACAGTGGCGCCTAGAAATATAATGTGAACATCCTCTGCACTGTCTGTTGTGGACTATTTGGTGGCATAAAGTTCAAAGATCCACTAATGTCTTCATTGTGAGCAGGATCACTGAGTTGACAGTCATTGCTACTGTCGAGCTACATGAAGTTTTAAAATAACACTTTCCAACATTTTCCATGAAACTGTTCCTTTGGTTTAAATTTCATTTAGATGCAAGAGAAAGGGCCAGTGTGACAAGAGGTTTCTCCAGTTGGATAGAGACTGTTCCTGCAATGCTTCCCTCCTTCTAAATTATGAGTTTTATTAATAATTGCCCTGAAGAGTTTTTTAAAAGTTATTAATTCAAATAACAAGGACCTGAGTTTATTTTGCCACTAGACACAATTGGGATGATGGTAAGAGATCCTCCCTTTTCTTAGAGGGTTGAGCCCACAGTACTTTGGTGATTATTTGCATAAACAAAATTCACATATGTGCAGGATTAGTCTGAGTTGAATTAATAATATGAATGTGGAAAGCTTGGATTTTTTTTCTTCCCTATTGATGCAACATGTTCTTTTTTTAAATAATAAAAAAATCAAATCGCAAGCCAAACTTGTCATTCACATTCCCCCTTTATTTGTGTTTATGTGCAAGTGATGCACCATGGTGCAAAAGCGAACCTTAACTTAAATTAACTAAGTAGATTGCAAGTTGAATAAATTATGAAAGTATTGCAGGTTATCTCAGCTATTGTGTTTCTCCATCATTGTGATGTGTGAGGTGGGGGCTGCAGATCATTGCACAGAGTTACACATAGAAACAGCCACCATGTCTTTCACATTGGATCTGCCAGGTTTATCTCTGAGTGCAATAGAGAAAGGGAGCCATCTAGGGAAAAGGGCAGAGTGAACAGGAGGGAGGGAGGGAGGGAGGGAGGGAGGGAAGGGATCCTGCGCCTGCTCACTGTGAGCACAGCAAGTGCAGCTCTCATCCGCTGCGGAGGCTGAAGCTGATACAGACGGAGTTTGACTGAGCAAAGAGAACCTCGGAGGGACAGTGTGGAGCACGACCTGAAGGGAAACAGTCAGAAAGGATCGGAAACAAGCCATGATTGCATTTATTTGCAGTCCTTAAACCTTCCTTGCCTCTGCGGCATGCTGCAGTTTGTGCTGCGAATGTTGCAGTGCGGGTCACCTCCTTTTCTTTTGGGAAAACCAAAGAAGCCCAGGGGGGTGTGAGTTTCTGGCACAAGTGCTGAGTACTGCAGCACCTTGATTCAAGCAGAAGAATGTAGGAGACGGGCTGGAGGAGGCGCAGGATCATCTTCCCAGACTTCAGTCTTCTACCGTCCATCAGTCTCTGCTTCCGATCCTCCCTTCCTCCTCTGTGCATCTTTTTGGCTTTGTATGGGAGGTGAGGCACTGGCGGTCTGTCAGTCATCATGCAGCGGTGTGAACGGGCAGCCCTGTGCCCACAACGCGCTATGGACATCAGACAATCCTCACTGTACTAATGAAAGGCTTCAAGCTCGCCTGGTGAGAATAAGCGCAGCAGAGGCAGATGCAATGTGTTGCTCTGACTGTGATTTTAAAATTGCACTTGTTTTTGTGCGTAGCTTTAAGGCTGTCACGTATGCATAGCACAGCTAAGCCAGGGGCAAGATTTATGGGACCGCTTCCTGCTGTGTCGTTTCCGCCTAATGTCCATGTAATGCTACGTATTCTTTGAACAACGGTCAACACGAGAGCGTTTGTGTAATTCTGCTTGCGTCCTCATTATCAGTCTGCAGAGAGCATGCAGGTTTGGAATGAGGGTTAGGTGAGAATCGGTGGGCTGTGACCAGGCTGGGCACATGCAGTATGAGCTCCATGTAGCATGCCTTTTTTCCACTGTGACTCCAGCGGCCCCACACAGCTCCCCTCTGGCTGGCTCAGTGTGAGCAGACCAGCTGAGGAAAAGCGCTCACGTGGCCGCCTGGAAAAGAGCTGGCACATGCTCCGTTTGTCTCTCCCTGGCATTCCCACTCGCATGTTTTCCTGTCTCCTCGTCATATCACATGTACAAAAAAAACACACACACACACACACACAAACACACAACCAGGTGGACTTTGTTTCACTTTCTTTTTTGCCAAAGTGCTCCATCATCTATCCTTTCATCATCTCTGTTATTCCCCCCTACCCCCTGCGATTCTTCGTGCCCCTCCTCTTTTTCTAGCTTGGTATTTTTAGAGACGAATTACAGAGCACTGCAAAAAAAAAAAAAAGAAAGAAAAAAATAGATGGGGAGCAGCTTCGGCAACGTGCGTCCCGCTTCCTTTCTCCCATTTCAATTTCATGAGGACCTCTTCTTTCCCCACAGGAGTTCTGGTTTTCCCTAAAGCCCCTGTCTCTCTTTCATTATCTCTATATTTGTACGTGCCCTTCCTAATTTCACCCGTCTGTCGTCTCCTCTCGTATTATCTTACATGTCTTGGAAATGAACTAATCTCGCCGTCATTGTTCTCCAGTGCAGACTGAGCCTTTGGATGTTATTTATTAGCCCATTAGGATGAATTAGACGCCCTGTGCAAAGTGTAGGTTACCTAGGTTATGTAGCTACCTAAATATAAGCGTTGGTGTCGTGCTTGCAATGTGCCATAGTTACTCTGTAGTGTAGAAACACTGCTAAACCTGAGTCTGTCCTCAGTTAATCTGTTTTCAGGTTACTTTATACTCAACAGCCATCTGTTGGCATCACATGGTCCTTTACCTGGAAAGGACTTGTCTTGGTGACAAGCCACACATAAATAAAATTATATAACTGCCTGTGCATTTTTTTAATCCAGTACATTTAACAATCTCTTGTGTAGAAAATATTATGTTTTATTATTATAATCAAAAGTGAAGTCATGTACAGTCTTTGTCTTGGTTAATTTGGAGACAAAGCAAGAAGGTGTGTAAGGAGCTCTAACAGGTGATACACCGAATGTTCATGTTTTATATTAAGAGGTTGACTTTGCGTGGTTAGTCATTGATATTTGTTGACCATGGCAAAATTAACTGTTTCCAACAAAACATTCACGTTTGTTATGGCTCCATAATGATGATCACATGGACACGTCTCCAGTTGAATCCTGTATTAAATGACCTCAGATCATTTCTGAAGATAAGCAACATAAATCACCTCCGGCTGCAGAGTCGCTAAATATCATTTGAATAATTTACTATTTGAACAAGATGATTAGCCGGTGCAGTTACTGATGTGACATCAGAGGATGTGCAGCTTAGACAATAGCAAGTTGTTTATCGTCATATTTATATATAGTTGTCTTGATGTTGGTAGTCATAATCTTCTTTGAGTCAGCAGTCTATAATTATATTATCACAAAAATAGTGAGCAGTTTTAAATCTTATCTTCTAATAAATGTAAACAGTGCAGGGTCATAAATGCCATAAATTAATATATAAATAATTAACTAAAAATCCATTAAATAAATAATTTATTGTCCCACTTATTTAGTAGAATTTGGAATTTTTTTGACTTTATTGCTGTGTACACTTTTACTACACATCATAGTGAGATATGGTGCATCGGTTCTTTTAAAGACAGATTTACACAGCTGTGATGCACGAGAGTGCTTTGCTTGTTATTTTTGCATCATTTATTTTTTAAGACAACAATAAAAAGAAGAAGAAGAAGAAAGAAACCAGCTTGCACATGTCTGTGTGTGTGACAGCAAGGGGAGCAGGGAGATTTGTAAGGATTTGGCTAAGGTCCCAGTGTATGGATATTTGCTCTTGGTATGACATTTGGTGTGACTTAAATCTCCACAAACACACAGACTCACACACACATACGCACACGCACGCACACGCACATAAGCGCTCAGTCACAGATGTGCACTCACAGCCAGCATCAGCAGCTGTAGCAACACCAAGGCCCTGACAGCAGGCTTGAGGCAGAGATTTCTGGCTGCACGTGGCACGGTGGACCAGCCTCCTGTTACTGCTGGACAGTTTGACAGACAAACTAAGCATCCAGGCATTACAACTCTGCATCCATCTTACCTCCTTAATGAAATATTACTTTCAAGAATGCATTTTTCATGGTTTTTCCATAGTGAACATTTCAGGAATGAACTGTACTCTTAGGTTTCCTATCAGTCCTTTTTTGGAACTTAGAGGATGCAGTAGTCAGCTTTAGACACGCACACACACACACACACACACACACACACATACACATGCAGAGTCAAGAAAACAAAACATCAAAGATAATTGATCTTTAGCAGGATTCCAGCAAAAAAACACGGTACACGGTCACATCCTCATGCAGAAATCTAAGTGAAAACCCCACATTGAGCTACTAATGTCTCTCTGGGCTATTTTAAGCTCAATTTAAAATTGTAGCTCCCAGGTCTCTGCAGCATGAATAATAATTGTCCTATCTGAATGGCATTAAAGAGTCATACGCTAAAGATTTTTCTTTTATTTGAATTACTGGCTATTTTTGCAGGTCCTCAAACATATAAGGGCTATCAGATGTGATGATTAAATCGACAAAATGGTCAAAGTCAGAAATGAAATGCCAGGTTTTGAACCCATGTGCAGCCTTTGATATATAAATATTTATGTAGGGTTTAAATTCGCAGAAGGGTCTCTGCAGTAAGGAGAAACTGCGGCATTGTTTCCTTCATGGCCTCAGTTTATTATCTCTCTGTTTCTGCCTCTATTTCATGCTGGTTTTTTAGGGGGGGGTTTTCTCACTATGTCCTGCCCACAAGTCATTTGTCATCCCTGATTATACTGTGTGTTTTTACCACTATGGCTATGTTTAATGTACAAAACTTATTTTGCTTTATTTTTCTTTTATGTGCAGTGCGACTAAAAAATAAGTAACCTTACATACCTGTAATTTACACAGATCTATATAATCAGTGCCTTCTCACAGCACATAATAATCAAAGAATCAGGCCCAAAGAAACATCAAGAGTTTACGCCACATAAAACTACAACACAGCATAGATTATTTGTGCTTAATGTGTACAATGTAATTTATAACCAGTATGAATGCAGTGGTTTTTGTTGGTTTATTACTTTGCGAAATCTGCATGAAGCACAGCAACATGCTGCTTCGACATGCTGACAAGTTCCAAACATGAGATGATTGCAACTCTTAACATTAGATGCATGCCGCATATATCCTTCTCTGCTGCAGCTTGAGCATAGCCATAACACTCTCGGACATAACCCGATGATAACTTTGCGCAGTCCCATGCTATTTTATGCTGATGTCCATTTACTCTCCTCAGCATTTGAAATGCTGAGAGCACCTCCAGTTTATGTGCCGGAACCTATGTTATAAATGATTCAGCAAATTGTTATTTGACCCTTTGAAGGCATGTATTGACAGTGTAATGTTTAACTATGTTCAAGGAAAAGCGTTTCACAGAATATACCTCTTTTATATATATATATATATATATATATATATA